GGTGCCCACAAACTAAATGCATACATTGAAACTGTATATAAGTTGCATTTACAAGTACAAATGAATTTTAACATTAATTCGTATGCAGTTTAAAGTTTGGGTCAGTTGGGGTAAATGGGGACAAAATCCGTATTTTTCACAAATTAATTAATTTTATGCATCAGAAATAAATTTAGATAAGCTTTAAACGCATGAAACTGACTGTCCTTATTTACAGTAAGATTAAAAAAAAAATTTTAATTTGGGGTAAATGGGGACAGCATAGTTTCTAAAAAAGGTTTAAGAAAAACGTTCCCTTAAGTATATTACTGTATTAAAGGATAAAAATACTTGAAAGGAATTTTTAATAGGGCGGACGAACTTAAATTTTTTTTATAAATTGATTAAATTTGCTTAATTGATATCTTTTATTATTTTTTTATTCAAGTATTTTGTCTAGCATTTCAAAGAAAACAGACTTAAAAATCATACAAATTTTTTTTCTTATTCCTTATGATTTCCTTAACAAAAATACACTTTAATTTCTGATTTTTGTCGATTTGGTTAATAATAACAAGTTGTCCCCATTTACTCCGAGTTTTCAAATTTTTAGGGTTATTATTAACCAAATTGACAAAAATCAAAAATTCAAGTGAATTTCTGTTATGGGAGTCATAAGGAATAAGAAACAAATTTTGTATGATTTTTAAGTCTGTTTTTTTTCAAATGCGAGACAAAATACTCAAATAAAAAAAAAATTTAATTGGTTCAACTATTATATATCTACTACAAATTTTTTTCAAGATTTTCCATCCCTTAATACAGTAATATACTTAAGGAAACTTTTTCTTAAACCTTTCTTAGAAACTCTGCTGTCCCCATTTACCCCAAATTTAAAAAAAAAATTTAAATCTTACGGTAAATGGGGACAGTCAGTTTTATGCGTTTAAAGCTTATCTAAATTTTTTCTGCTGCATAAAATTAATCCTGGGAATGTAAATAATAACTTAAAAAATAAATCCGCAAATATAACCTTTTAAAGGAAGAAACTTACGTAATTTGTGAAAAATACGGATTTTGTCCCCATTTACCCCAACTGACCCAAACTTTAAACTGCATACGAATTAATGTTAAAATTCATTTGTACTTGTAAATGCAACTTATATACAGTTTCAATGTATGCATTTAGTTTGTGGGCACCTCAAACCGCCCCAAAAAAATAACGAAAAATTTTTTTTCTATATGTAAAAAATAACAAAAAAAATTATGTAAAAAATAACTAAAAAAATTATGTAAAAAATAACGTTGAGAAAAAACAAAAAAAAATTCAATGTACAAAATAACAAATTAAAAAAAAAATTTTTTCATTTACAAAAAAGTTAAAATTTACAAAAAATAAAAACAAGATTAAAAAAATATAATGTAAAAAATAACAATTTTTATGTTTTGTACAATATAACTTTTTTATGAAAATTCTTGTGTAGTTTTGATACCGACTCGTTATTCGTCATCTTCGTCTTACATGCACATAGGCACGTTAGACGCAGACAAATTATATACGTATAGTTGGTTTTTGTGTTTATCATAGAAGCACGTTCTTACCAACATATGGAAATTTAAAAGTATGGACCACAGGCGACTTAATACTTAATATTTAATTGTTTAGCAGATCAAAAAGTCTAAAAATCAGATTTAAAAATGTGGAAGTCAAATAGTTGACATTATGATTGTTCGATCAGTTCAATATTTGAAGTTTAGATTGCGTAGAAGGTCATGCAGTCAGAAATTCATTTTTTATAATAGTAAAATTTAATAGTTATGAAAAATCGAGTCATTAATTGTTTATAAGATAATGTACATAGTCAAAATTAAATTGTTTGCATATAGTTAAATATTTGACACGTCAGTGGTTTAAATAGTTTAGTAGTCACACTTTTAATTGTCTCAAAGTCAAAGATCAAGTATGGTCAAAAATCCATATTTAACCCTCTAGGTACTTAGGGCGAGATCACCACCACGATATTATTATTAGATTTGTTCAATTTTTAATTATTATTTATAAAAGATTTTATTTTATATAACAAATTTGTGGCGAGAAAGCCCAAACGCAATTGCTATTCATTAAAATTATCTAATTAAAGCGAAAATCTATGAAAACTGCAAAAAAATTTTAATTGTTAATTATAAAAGATTTTATTTTCTAAAATAAATTTAGTGCTCTCTAAATCTGAATTAGTAAAAATGTTTACTAATTTGAATTAGTGACTCACTTTTTGCTTTAGAATTAGTTAAATTTTACTAACTGTTATTAAAAGTTACTAATAATTAGTAAAATTTTACTAATTCAGAAGCAAAAAGTGAGTCACTAATTCAAATTAGTAAACATTTTTACTAATTTAGATTTAGAGAGTGTTATAAAAGAGTTATAATTTTTATTTATTTGATGTTTTATAATCATTTGTTTTTTCATTTTTACTTAAAAAAAGATAAGTGGTGATCTCGCCCCAAATATTGGGGGCTATCCCTTGCAGGGATAGCGTAGAATGGCTGTAGCTCGAAGTAATGAAGAGACCGGAACATGCGTCAATGGAGTAAAATGTAGCCAAAGAGTCTATCTTTCAAACCTTTTTGGTTTTGTCTTTATCGGCTCGGGGACTGGAGATACAGTTCGAAAACTTAAAAGTGGTGATCTCGCCCTACTCTACTCTATGTTATATGCATGTGAATTTAAAATTTGAAGAAAAACTGTAAATAATTTATTTAAGAAAACGAAAATTTTGTGGTATATTAGTGTTGGTCGTTCTGGAACTTAATGTAATATAAGAAAGATAGTTCACCATAGCCCACATATACTTTGAGCTTCTAATATTAAGGACGTTTATCCACGGAAATTCAGGCCTCTAGAAAAAAATAATCAATTAACATTTAAATAATTAGAATAACATTATCAATTGTACTTTCTGAAAGATTGCCTGAAATATTGCCGTTTGAAAAATACAGCTATTTATTTTTAAAAAATCCAAATTTTTCTTTTAAACAAATAGCTGTATTTTCCAAACAGCAAGCTTGTTCGAAAATCCCCACGGTGAATTTGTAGAGAATCATTTTCTGAATAAAATAAGCCATATTTCATTGAAATCGAATTATTTTTAAAAAGTTCTGTAAAAGCAACATAAAAAAAAATTTTATCCAATGCAAATTGTCTAAACAAATAAATTTTGCTCGTTTCAAATTTTTTTCTTAAAAATTGATATCTCATCTTTCGGAAAGTACAATTAATAATGTTATTTTAAATATTTAAATGCAAATTAATTATTTTTTTCTAGAGGTCTGCATTTCTGTGGATAAACGTCCTTAAAATAAAAATTAAAAATGCAACAACTTTATATATTTTTAGAAAAATATATAAAATAAAAATATTATATTTTATAATATATTTTATAATACTTTATATTATATATAAATATATAAAAACATATATATTTATATATATGGGGTAAAATTCCTGTGGCGAACAAAGTGAAAAAAAAAGTTGCTCGGATCGGGCTGTAACTTGCACATAGTTTAACCCTAAGGGTGAGTAATTTAACCACGAAATATTGTTAGGTTTTTTCAAAAACTGTCGAAGAGGGAGGGGGTTGAATTATTTTAAAAAATTTAAACAGTGAATATTTTGAAGACTTGTAACTTTTAAACAGAAAGAAGAAGAAAAATTTGTCCTGCATGTTTTCGAATGGTTTTTTCCTTCTCTTTCGAATGGTGCAAAAAAATTTTCCAAAAATTCAAATTTTGACCCATTTTTTTTGAAGATTAAACATTTTTTCGAATTTTTTTTTATGTTCGGTCCTTTTTATTTTTTTTATTTATTTATTTTTTTTTTTTTGAAAGCTAAAAGTGTGTATTTTCACCACAAAAAATATTGAGATGTCCTTTTTTGTTATTTTCGAGATATTAATTAATTAATGTAAAAATACATTTTCAGCAACTTTGGAGCAATTTATTGTAACACAGAAAAAACCTAGTCTCATTTTTGTTGCAAATCAAAATGAGCCAATGCTAAACGACATAGACAGTGGCGCCACCAACCTGGTTCATTTTTGTTGCACATCAAAATGAGTCGCCTAGGCGGCTCATTCTGAGTTCAGTTTTTTTCTGTGAAATATTTGTCATGAAATGTGAAGAAAATAAAAAAATAAAATTTTTTATTTAACTTTTTTTTGTAATTGAGAAATGACTCTGGAGAGAGCACTTAAAGACGCTAATGCATAGACCGCAATTTAGAATTGCTTGAATAAGCAATATTCAGGTGGACAAAAGGACGCGTGCATTTGCGCCCTTTAGTGCGCTCTCCGGCGTCATCTATTGAATTTACAAAAAAAAGTTGAATAAAAAATTATTTATTTTTATTTTTATATTTCATAAGACAACTATTTACAATAAATTGCTTCAAAGTTGCTAAAAATGCAAAAATTATTTTTACATACCTTGTAAATTGCTTAAACAGAACAAATACATGTCTTTAAATAAAAATTGTATTTATGGAAACGAAATAAAGAAAACTTTTTTATTTTGTGAAAGAAAGTAGTCTTGAATTTTTTTTAAACTCAATATTCGTCTAATATTGAATATTGTCAATATTTATTGACATAAGAGAAAATATAAATTATTAATGCGAATTTTATTCTTAAAAATTTATTAGGTATATGTTTTCTGAGAATTGTGTCGGCGTGATAGGCACTCGCCGAGAAAAAAGAAAAAAAAATAAAGGGTGCTCCAGTATGTGTGCTTCGAAAACAAGAAAGTCCAAATCGCATATTATGGAAAAGTATATCTATACGTATATAGTGTAGAAAAAAGTGGAAAGTGTCAATGAAAGGGTAGTGGGGAAGAATAGGCTGGCGAAGAGAATATTCTCCGAATTCTGTGAAGGGTGTAACGGTGATTGGATGGCTTAAAGTGGTGGGGATAGGGTAACTTAGTTGTGCAGCCCCTTTTCGCAAATACCCAATAAGCCACAATTCTACTTTGGTTTTTACAGTCAGTCTGTTTTCTGAACTCTGCTAGTATGTTGGATTTTGTATCGAGGACGGGTTTCCTGAGTTGAATTTTCTTTTCAATAAAAGTTTGTGGGTGAAAAGAGTTTTGTGTTGTGAGTGACATTGCATTGTATTGTGATTATTGTGTAAAATTTCAGCCAATGTTCTTCATATCAACCCTTGGACTGATTAGTGTTTAATTTGAAGAGTTCGAAATTACACAAGAAATTCTTTAACAGGTTAGTTTGAGAAACAGTCAATTATACTTTTTATTTACGTTCAAAATTTTTAAAACATTAGTTTTTCAAGAATGACCTTTATTTTAATCTCTGTTTTGTAATAGTATTATTTGATGCTTTTTTCTTTTTATTAAACCTGCAAATTAAGATCATTAAAAATTAGTAAATATTTTCGTCCAGTCAATTTATTATTTGATATAAAATTTTTTCACATATTAAAACTAGCTATATTTTTAAAATTGAATTTAGAATTAAATATAAGAATATTATTTTCTAAAATCGAGGAAAAGTTTAATTTATTGTTTTTATTTTTGTGCTTTTTCTTTCACCTTCCGAGAATTTCAATTGTTTCGCAAAGCATCTAAATAATGAAAACATTGAAATACATATACCTAAAGGTCTAAACTTGAAAATAAACTAAATTTATGCTTGCTTTTCTTTTTAATCAAAATGTAGTGTATTTATTTATTCTTTTATTTGAAAAGAAGCAATATATTATTATTATTATATACATTTTTTTATTGAATTCATTTGAAATTATAATGGTAAGGATTGCAGAAAACAGTTCATTTTCTCTCTTCTTTTTATCTAAAACTTCACTTCCATTTATTTTTTTATTTACAAATAAATGTAGATTATTATGTATCATACAAATAAATTTCTTTAGTTGAATTTTGTTATTTTATCAAAAAGAATTTACTATCAATATATACATAACATCTAAATATTTTATTTTATTTATTATGAATATTAGTGGAATGAAGTGTGAGTGAAAAATAAAATATAAAACACCCAAGATATGTAATTGAATTGTAATCCCCATATGGACATCCGTCATTTTTATTTTATTGTCGCTTCTTAAGACGTAAAATGTAAAAAGATCTAAAATTATTAAAATTGTGGTGAAATTGAAATTATTTACTCGACTTTTTACTGTTTATCAATAGTAAAAAACTATTAAGGCCACGTTTTGTAATTTGCACCTTATCCGAGATCTTATCAAATTGTTAGTCTCGTTTAAAGAATAAATTAATGCACGGGTAAAAATTTAATTCTTTTGACTCTATGACAAATGGACATTGTTGAAAATACATTTCTGGACAATAAATCAAAGCAATTTACGTATTTGCGTCATATTTATTACCTAAATTGTTTTGAAAAGAAACTAAAATATTACTTTGGAAAGTGCAGCACGTTAAAGTTAAAGAAAAGAAAAAGTTATGATTTTAAGAAGTCTTGTGCTTGGTTCTTTTTGCAAATTGTATTAAGGGTTGTTTATTTTCACGGTTACCCCTAGCGTTATTTCACTGGGAAGACAGTGGCCGAAGTGAGTTATTTATGGTGGCAAGGACATGATGGACAATAAGATTTGCCAGCTTCTTTGAATAGCTAAATCCTGACTTTCCGGTGTCCAGGCTAGAAAATGATCCACTTGAATAAATCAACCGAACCTTGTCAGCAGGGGCACGTGTAGTTTCCGAAAATGTGGTGACCACTCCGGCTTCAGAACACCGGAAAGCTAAATTTTACAATTTTAGGTTGGTAGCTTGAGGTTCGGCTGCATTTGCAAAACCCCTTTTCTCCGAACAAAACTGACCGCTGAGTCCATTATAAACCCCTTTTTAGACTAAAATTTACTGCTGTAATAATTTTGTTTTCCTCACTCGGTACTTACTTTATATATTTATATTATATGACTCATAAACTTATCCAAATAGCTGTCTCGTTTCATAAAAAAATTGTAAATAATAATAAATAATCACACCAAGGTCCACAGCAATGATATTATTGTTTTTATTACACAGAGGTTCCTATTAAAAGACATTTTTGCTATTATAAAGTAAACAAAGCTTAACAAACTATTATGTATTGCTACATGAAGGATTCGATAGTTCGCTCTTTGTTCTGTTGAACACTTTCAAGGTGAACTAATGTGTACAAAAAAAATGATAAAATTTAAATTGAAAATTTTCTTTTCTAAAAAACATTACTTATCGGAAATGAAGAATCTCATTCTTTTTTTTCACTTTTCTTTGTATTTTAGATTTATAATCAAAATCAAAATCTCTACCTGACAGATCCACGAAACTTTTAACTTTCAAGAAAAAAAATTTCTTTTTTTAATTTGAAGGCAGATTGATGTCACTTTTTATACATGTTTAAGTACATTTAATTTTAAACTCTTTAATATTAATAAATTACATATAAACTTGAAAAATTCGACTTTTTTTATTTTTGATATCGAAGTGGTTTCCAAAGTATTTTCGTCGTCTGAACACGATTCTGGCACCCAAATTTTCTTAGCACGTCAGGATTTTGAGAAAAGAGGGAGTAAAGACTCCAAAAAAGTGTTTTCAGCATATTCTTATCTTAATAAAATTTATTTCACTCAAAATCTTTAAGCGACGTTTTTGTGTTCAAATATATGTATAAGAATGTTTCGATCACACCATAGATTGACCTGTTTAAAGCAAAAATGCAGTTGTGCCTTTTAAAAATGTATAAATTTAAATGAAATCACGATTTTTATTATCATCTTCAAATTGTTGCCACAGGAATACAATTAGAGGCACATCATTGAAGAAGGTCTTAAAATTTTTGTTTTTTCATCATCTTCTTAGAAGTGCATTGAACTTTTATTTTTATCCAACGCCGTAATAGATATTTTCATAAGAAGACGTGCAATTGAATTTTCTTAAAAAGTGCTATCACTTAAATTTCAGTGGTGGCACACTAATGGGATAGTGAAAATTTTTTGACAAAATATGTCTGTTAGATATTTCCATAGTAGCTGAAGTGATATTTTACACGCCGCAAAAATAAAAACGTTAAGAATAGAAACTTTTTTAAGAGTTTCAAATGAAATTTAAGCATTTTTTCACTTTTTAACTTATAAAACTAATTGTCAAATAAATATTTTGTTCTATTACTGTACATAAATGTTACTTTGTATATAATTTGACAAAATAAAATGATACCCAAAGTTTTAATCTTTTAAACCTCAAAATTAGAATTTGGTCTCGAACATGTGTGTTTTTTAAAAATATGTAGTTCTAACTCAAATAATCCGATTATAAGAAAGTTCAAAAATGAATTTTAAAGGTTTTTATCGTCTACATTTTAATTGTTTTATTAGTTGTTATAAAATGAATTTTTATGCAAAAATTTTCAAAATCAAAAAATATATTTTTTTTTTGATTTAGTCATTAAAAATTTCTGTTCAATAAGCTTGAATTCAGTATATATTCTTATTTTAAGAATAATATTAACTAAGTTTAAGTATAAAATATTCTTAAATATGCGCCACGAAAATATTCTTAATTTCAGTTTACGGTTTTTTCTGTGTAATTCCTGAAGATGGGATGAAAACTATTTACGAAGATACAGTGTAAACAGTCGCTTAATATTTTTAATTGGCCGAACATATGAAACTGCTTTATGGAGCGTCAAACAGTTATTAAACTGAGTTTTGATAAATCTTTAAGAACTTAAAGTTAAAAATACAATCTTCCTTTATTAAAATGAGGCAATGAAGCAGAATAATAGTGTAGTGTGCTCACAATTATTATAAATGTTTTTTTTTAATTACGTTCGGTAAATTTTTAATTCTTCTATGTTTAATTTACTTGTTCTCTATAACAATATAATTTATTATGAAACTAATTTACTTTTATTATCTAAGTATTTCCACAATTTAAAATGGTAATAATTTCATTGAGCAAGTGTACGATTTTTTCATAAATCCTATCTGCCAATAATCAAAATATTTGTTTTCATTTGTTTGACCACTATTAATTTAATGCATCATTTATGCTAGTCAACTAAAGAAAATACTGTAAACCCCAAGTTCCAACATCGCCAAGTCAACATTCGTAGCTGATAAAAACGACCTTTTAATTTTAATCACCCATTAATTTTATACTTACAATTGGTTTCGAATAAATTTTTCTTTTTAAAGGGATTTTAAAATGGAATTATTTCTAGTCATTCGCTTATTTTAAACTAAACTTCAAAAATATAAAAAGAATTTTTTTGTTTAAGAATCTCAAAAAATTGTTTATAAACAATTAATTGTCATTACAATTCATTGTTTATAAAAAAAACTTATTAAACAAAAATACTTCATATCAGGCTCGTCGGATGCAGAATTACGTCAGCTTTTGATTGGTAGTTTGAGAATTGAAATAATTTTTTTTATTTGTAAAATATTTTATTTTTTATTAACATTAATTAATTTATTAATAAACATCTCGAAAAACGGGTCATTTTCATATTTGAAACAACTTATTTTTAAAGCAGCGTGCGCTGAGTTGATCAATGAAGTAAAGTCAGTAAAGTTTATATTACAGAACTCTGTCGGTAAAGTCGCATGAGGTAGAAATTGAACTGAGTTTAAGTAGTGATTAAAATTTGCAATAACTATATTAATTTTCAATACTGCGACTATGAATATCCCAAATTTACTATCGTTCACTATTAAATTATGTTTTCATTTTTATTGTTTTTCACAAAATTTAATATGCTTATACGATTACGTTTAATATTCAAAATCAGGACCTTTTTAAAAATTGTAGAAAAATTAAAATTTTTTACCCTACTAGATACTGAAATGTTATGTTGAGATTAGCACTTGACAAATATTCAAAAAGAAAAATAAATAATAAAAAAACATAAATAATAATATAAAAATTCATTAGGGAAGACATTAAATCGATAATAGCTTTTCTATATTTTTCAGTCTCAGCCTATAAAATCATTTGAAAATATCGAAATCTATGTTGCCGAAAATGGATGAGCAACGAGGTCAGCAATTACTGCAGCAGCAGCCTGATATACAAAAACAGGGGCAACATCCCCCCCAGTCACCAACCACGCCTTCCTGGAGTATCGCTGATAAAATAGTAGTGAGTATTGTGAGTTATCACCGCCCCATTGCACCCCTCAACGGTATCAAATTTCTTTCTCTTTTCCCACCTACTTTACTAAGTCTGTCTCTTTCTCAATTGTTATAGTCGCACCCTTCCTTCACAAATATCAAAATGTCTGATTCCACTGAACAGTACTTCTTTTGTTTTGTGGAATCTTCTCCAGTTCTTTTATTTATTTTTAAACAATTATGAAGTTTGCCTTTAAATTGGATTAAACTGGATTCACTGACATTTTACTGAAAATATACTACATATATGATTTTACAATAAAAAAAATGAACTCAAAATACTTTTTGAAAGACAAGGTGTAGGTTGTAAACTATATCACCTAAAAATCTTAAGTTATGGATAAAACAATTTGATTGTATTGAAACTGTTTTCAATATTCATTTGATTTGAAAGCTGTTTCTTACACAGAAATGCTTTTCTACTTTTTATTTATTTCTTCATCCGTGACAATAATTAGGCCCATCCTGTAAAAACTAAAACGGTTTTAATAAAAGGCAAATATTAGAAATATTGTTTTAGTTCTAATTTCATATACTTTGTTTCGTCATTTTCTGGCCATGAAGAAATATAAAGAATAGAAAATGAAATGTTTTGTGGGATTGAGGGGACAAAAAACTAACAAGCTGAAAAGCAAATGTATTTTTACAAATTTTTTTAAAATGTTATCATTGGATCTTTTTGAAATTTATATCATACTTTATTGAAGTAACAAAAAAGATAATTAACTAAATATATAATTATTTTAGACAACTCTCCCCCCCTTCTTTGACTCCGACAAGTTATCTGGTTGACATGTCTGGACCTCTATATGCATCAAAAATAAAAAAAACTAAATAACTTTAAGAATTGAGTGTTAGTTACTATGGGTACGGAATTTTTGTTATATAAAAACTATAATGCTATCTAGATAAAGTCAAAAAAGAGGTAGTAATAAAACTCACACACTGCTTTAAACATCTTGTTTTTCTTTAATAAACTATGATAACATTTTTTAGAAAGATCCAATTGTATACCTTTTTAAACAAAATCGCAAAAATGTATTTACTTTTTAGCTCGTTTGTTTTCTTAAGAGAATTAAGAAGTATTAATGATTATAAAAAGAAAAACCTAGAACGGTTATTCAGTTTTAATTCTTATGTATTTAGTACTCCCAATTAATTTCGAACATTATCAATTTCCTTTTCAAGGGATAATAATTGTACGAAATTTATACACATGTTCTTGTCAAAGACAACTTTTAAAAAACATAAAAATAATTCATAAAAGGTAATCTTTAAGATACTGAATCCTGATCTGGCCAAAGACTATTTTAGAAGAGTTGTTTATAAAAAACTACAATTTATTATTTATATGTTTATATTATTATTAGTTTATGGGTTTTGGCTACGGGACAGCCACCGTTGCTTATTGGTATATATACACATATATATATAATATAATTTAAAAAAATATATAGTATACATTTATATAAATAAGAAATTATAGTTTTCTATAAAAATCTTCTATAATAATGTGTTAACTAGAACAGGACTCAATATCTTGAAGAATATCCTTTCTGAAATCTTTTTTTGTTTTTTAATGTTATCCGTGAAAAGAAAGTGTGCATAAATTTCGTACAATTTATTGTATAAAAGGAAGTTAAAAATGTTCAAAACTACATAGTTATAAATAACTAAATAACCGATCAATGACAAATTCATATTAAAACCTGTGTTTTGTCCACTACTTAACGTTTTTATACTTATAGTGTATATAAAAATATTATATTTGTGACAATTAGAATTTTTAGTTAAAAAATAATTTATAACTTATATTAGTTATTTCTGTTCTTTGTAAAATATGTTTTTATTTACATACATCATATTTTTCACTAGTCAATGTGATATCCTTTTGACCGGATTCGATAAATATGTAGAAAGAAACTTTGTTATAATGTTGTTAAAATTGTATTGTTTCTAAAATGTCCGCTTTTTGAATTTTAACGGCTTTGACGAAGGAACGCCACAAAGCGAAGCGCCCCAGTGTTAGATGGATAAAGGAAAAGGATCCTGGTGAGTAATCGCCTTGCCTATGGACCCTTCAACGAATCAAAATAAAAACTATCTCACTCTTGACATTACTTTCTGTCTCTCTTGCTTTCCACCCTTCGTAAATACATATGGATAGCTCATTCCTTGCACATTGACATCGATATTTTTTTTAATAGCTGTTGCACAACTTGAGAACTTAAAAGTACTCATTACGTTTATTTTCATTTTAGAAAGATGAATTGTCTGATGAAAAAAATGATGATTCTGGTGTTTCACCCGGACACTATACGAGCAATTCCGCATCTCCAAGAAGCAGAAGGTCGTCTTCAGTGATGAACTGCAGTCTTTCGCCTGGAAGTTCCATTTCAGATTCGCAAAGCATGCAGTGTACACCTTACGACTATAGTCCGAGTTCATATAAGCTTGACAATTCACCGTTGACCTTTGGACGTATAAATTCAATAGATGAAGATACACTTGGAATGAAGAACGACCATCAGGAAGTAGACGGACCTTCTACTAGTAAACAACAACTTTTTTGCAATTATCAATGTCCCCTTTGCATTTTTACTACTACAAATAGGTAATTCAATATTAATTTCAAATTAAGTTAACATTTTTTGGCTGATTATTTTTTCTTTGAACAAATGAGGGAGGTGTTGTTTGTGTAGATGACACAGTGATAAATAAAATTTATTGGAATTCTGTGTACAGATTATAGTACAGTTTAAAATTAAAACAATGGAAAATATCCTGACCTGTTATGAAACTTTCAGATTAACTTTTACTCAGCATTTAATGGTTCATTATACACCGAGTGATAATTCTGGATACGATAGAGCTATCATGGAGCAAGATGGCAGGATATCTCCAACCATGTCAGGAGATAGGTCAGAGTACGAATATGAAGATTTTGAAGATATTAATGTGCCACGCATTAACTCTCAGGTATTTTTAGTTATTGACATAATTGGTTATGTAAATTGGCCATTAACTAAAAATAAATTATGTTTTATATGTTGGCATGACGATCTATGAAGTAAAGAAGTAGCGATTTTCATTAGTTCAGACGTTTCGGTGTGAAAGTTCTTTTTTCATGGACCCTCATGCCAATATATAAAACATAAGTTATTTTTAGTTAAGTTTAATTAAGAATTTAGTTATAATTCTGAAAAAATTCAATAAAAATATCTTATAGTCTTATAAATTAAATTGAATCTCTAAATGAGGTTAGAGAAAGACTTGAAATTGACATACAAAATAAAGTTTCGAATATTAAAGTAAGCAGCCGCAAGATACCGTCTTCGTCGCTTCAGTTGAATATTTTTTAACTTTCCTTTTCATTTATTTAATCTTAATTTTCTTATTTTTTAATAATTTTATCTTAATTCGGTAAATATAGGTATTTCAACCATTTCAATCGAAAGTTTTTGCATTATTCTAAAGTATATTTTACAGTCTTTTTATTCAGTGTGGGAACAGTATTTAAAGGAAATGTTTTATTGTGCATATATGGATTTCAAGTTCTTTCTTTGAGTCCAGTTCAAAAGTAAAAAAGTAATTTTATAAATTCAGATATTGATACAATTTTTAGGAAGATCATTGAAATAAAAGTATGTAAAATTAATTTTCCTACAAACAAGTAAATTTAATTTATTAAAATTGATGTTTTTTGTAGGGCAAGGTGAAAACTCACAAATGCAGACAGTGTAGCTATGTGTCTATTACAAAGTTGGATTTTTGGCAACACAATCGCAGACATATCAAGATTGACAAATTGTTAACTTGCCCTAAATGTCCATTCGTTACGGAATATAAACATCACCTTGAATATCATCTTCGAAATCACTTTGGGTCGAAGCCTTTCAAATGCACCAAGTGTCCATACTCATGTGTCAATAAGTCGATGCTCAATAGCCATCTTAAATCACACTCCAATGTTTATCAATACAGATGTGCCAATTGCTCTTATGCCACCAAATACTGTCATTCGTTGAAGCTTCATTTAAGAAAATATAATCATCAACCTGCAATGGTTTTAAACGCCGATGGATCTCCAAATCCGCTGCCTATTATCGACGTTTATGGAACTCGAAGAGGACCAAAACCTAAGCCAGTGAAGACAAAAGAAGAGAGTCAATACAGCGTGCAGGTAAAAAACTTGTTTGATTTATTTTGTATTTTAAAAACAGTTCTCTAGCTTAAAAGTATTTTCTAACAAATAATTGTCATTTCAGAATCAGTTAAACAATAATTTATTGAGTACGATTTCACCACCAATTGTTGCTTCGCAAATGATGATGCCAACATCAATGCCGCCAATGGGAACTGCAATGAATATGTCCGTTTTAAACAGCGGATCAAATGGAATGAATAATCTTGTGCCAAATCATGCTAATGTGCTAAATGCATTGTCATCTTATAATCAACTGCTTGCTGCTGGTTATCCGATGCCGAATTCTATTTTTAACGAGAATATTGCGGAGAATGCATTGAAACTTCAAGCGTACTTTGAATACACCAGATCTATGAATAATGAGAAAATTCTCGAAGACTCACTGCTGAAGAGCATTTCTACAGGAACAATTCCTTTAAATAATATCTCTTGTCCCGAGAAAAAAGATATGGATTCTATTGTCGAAAAATGCGAATCAGTTCCTGAAAATTGTTACATTGATAAAAAGTATGAAAGTTCTAAAGAAGAGGAACATTTTGTGCAACAGCAGAATGTGAATAATTTAAAGAAAACAGGCACTAGTCGACGTAAAGGAAAAGCTGTGAAATTAGATAAACATATCTTGGAAAAAGATTCTGATGAAGAGCAGGTGAGCATTTCAATTTTGTATTGGCTACATATTAAGAGCACGTCAGAGTGTCTAATTCTTAAGAATTAGAAACTTCGTTTTTCCTAATAAAAATATAGTTCTCCTATTTTTTTATAAAATATTATCAATTGCGTAATTTAATTTCAACTTTAATTTTAAAAGAAATTCAACATGTTCTATGATTACAGTTTTTCTAATGAATAATAATTTTTTGTTTCAGGACTACGAAACATCTTACAATAAACCAGCGTCAACTATGCCTAATAATTCCGATTCCAAAGATAAATCTGAAAATGCAGATCAGTTCGCATGTCAATACTGTGAGATTTCTTTTGGAAATGACGTCATGTACACTGTTCACATGGGTTACCATGGATATCAAAATCCTTTCACTTGTAACATGTGTGGGCATCAGTGTTCAGATAAGGTGTCATTCTTTCTTCACATTGCTAAGTCAAAGCATTGAGCAAGTGACATAATTAGCGACATTTCTTTTTCTCTTGAAATTAGCAGTGTAATGATGAAAGCAACTTACACTTGGTAGAAATTATTTTTCTATTATAAGCGAAGTAACTTAAGTAAATTAAGCGCCTTACGATTATAATCCTAAATGTATTTTAGTCTTCAGTGTTCAAGTTATTCTGTTATTATCAGCGAATAATATTGATTAGAAAAATTAAGAATTGCGGTTTAGGCCATCATATATATATATATATATTTATTTATTTATATATACTTGGTTGCTTTTGCGAAATATTTCGAGCCAAAAACTTGTGGTTGTGAATTAGAAAGAAATTGTATAAATGCCTCAGGGTCATATAAAAGATAAACTGCCTTTGTATAGTTACGATCAAAAGTACTTAGTAACAACTTTAAAGTAAGATTTTACAGTTTACTGGTACTTTTGATTTCACAAGAATTAATATTTTTAGATTATTTCCAAGCCGTACAAAAGTATAAAACTGGGCTTGACTAACTACCTCAGAAAATCATACATTTTCTAGATCTATAAACATCATATTTTTGTAACACATTTGTTAGAACAGTACAAAACTATAGGATAATCGTAAGTCTAATATTAATATTTTTCATATTCCAAAGAGGCTTCTTTAAAAAGTATTATTATAAAGAGTGATTATAGACGAGTAGATTTCTTTAAATTAATTGTTGTAAAAACAATAAGTCAAATTAAATTTCATAACTATGCAAAAATGTATAATATTATTCAGATGCAATTTAATTTTTATACAGAATAATTTAATTTATTGTAAGATAAATATTGTAGAAAAGCATATATAAGTGTTTAAATGAAATATTGCAAAAAGTGATGTCCATTTGTCAATTATTGGAAATATTATTTTCTACTGAAAATAATTGTCTCTTTTCAATTAATTGATAGTTTGTATTATATAAAATATCATTAATCTATCATAAAATATATATATTATCATTATATTGAAGGCAAAAAATCAAAAATTTTCAATAAATATGGAATCTAAAATGTACAAGTTTTTTTATAGACTTGTTTCTATTTCCAATGGCATTATATTTATGTTTACAATTATACCTTTATACATTAAGAGTTGTATTATTCATAATTTATGTAATCAGATTCAGATATTTAAGCCTACGAAGTACTCAACATTCCTATTCTGTGTAATATAACATGTAATACATTTAAATATTACTTGTAACACCAATTAATAAATTATTTACAAATAAATTTCTACTTTTATCTGTTACATGGATGATTCTACAAACGAGGGAATTATGAGCGGTCAAGCTTATTTTGTATATTAATTTTGAAAAAAATAATTTTTTCTTTTATGAAGATTGTAAATCTAAATGGTTTCTATTGTGGCACTAAAAAACAGCCGATGAAAAAAAATATTTCTTGCAAAAAATTAGTAATAGTACTGGATTAGTAATTTTGAATAGTTGTAGATTATTAATGTGGAAATAATTATGACATTACTCTATACCTTATTTATAAAATATCTTCTTGAATGTTGTCCCTGGATTTTGTCATCATTCGTCTGGCAGTTGAAAACACGTTAAAATTATTAAAAATCAACATTCTAATGAAGTTACAGTTCGTTATTGTTGTTAATTAAATTAAACTAAACTAAATGTGATACCACGCGCGTTTTTTTAAATTTGTTATTCTATTAACCAAGATTGTGTTGTGACCAGACAAATTCTCATTCGTCTGGCTTCCATTTTTTTGAAAAAAATATTATTTTTAGGTCCTTCTATAGGCTTATGTATTGCAAATTTGAATTCTCTATCGGATAGAATTGCTTATTTTTTTATTTAATGTTGTTTCTACCTTTTTCTTAAAAAACTGCCAAATTCTCATTCATCTGGATCTCATTCGTCTGGCACTTTGGAGACAGGATATACATTAAGCACTAAAAACAGCGTAAAACTAATAATTTTTAAACATTTTTCGATTTTCTTGACTTAAAATAATCCTCACTAAATTTTTAAGATATTGATAAACCCCAGTCTTTAATTTTCATTTTGTATATTTAATTATATTAATATAAATAAAAAAATAAAAAGCACTTTTTTCCTGTGAATCGTATGAATATCTCAACAAAATCGAAATATTTTTTATTATTAGACACTTAAAGTACTCCTACAGATTTGTGATTTGTAAAATTATGTTTTAGTAGAACACACGTAATTTGTTATAAACAAATTATATAAACAGATTACTAATTAAACCGATAGCTTTTATTGATCCTTGTAAAATTCTTTACTTGGGGGTTTTCGGGGTCGCTGATTACGAATCCGACGTCAGTTTTTCAAAATTCAAAATGGCGGACAACTTTTGAAAAAACTTAATATATTCGTTTGAAGTAAGTAGTTTCCACTGATTTTAAATATTTGTCCATGTTGCATCTGCCATTTTGAAAAACTGACTCCGGATTCATTTTCAGCGACTCCAAAAACCCCCGAGTAGAAAGTTTCAAGCAAATCCGAACGAATTTTTAAAAAGAAGTCCGCCATATTGGATCTGCCATTTTGAATTTTAAATAACTGACCTCGGATTCGTAATCAGCGACCCCAAAAACCCCCGAGTAGAGAGTTTTAAGCAAATCCAAACGATTTTAAAAAAAAAATTCCGTCATATAGGAACCGCCATTTTGAATTTTGAAAAACTGACCTCGGATTCGTAATCAGCGACCCCGAAAACCCCCGAGTAATAAATTTTGTATAAATCCATCCATTATTTTTTGTATTAATGTGAATACACGATCTTAATTTCCTGGATAAATTGTTTATAAACAATCATAACTTTTGTAATTTTTAATATTTTGTCTGGACACTTTCAGATATCTTTTTTAGTGTCATTAACTTGAAGTTAAAGTACTTTTGAGACCTTAAATGAGAAAATATGTTGCGTCCATATTTTCTTCATTTTCATCCTTCGTTTGTAGAATCACCCATATACAAAAACTGCCCCCACTCATAAAAAGCTGAAAGTTATGATACATGTTGGTATCAATGAGTTGAAAATTTTAAACAAATATTTTTTCAAGAAATGTATTTGTGTACAAGTTATGGAGAAGAAAGAAAAATCAAAAAAATTAATTTTTGAATTTTCAAAACATTTTATTGGGTCTTTAGTCTCCTAAATGCTTACTTATTTAAGAAACATTTTTTTAACACATAGTTTGCCGAAAACTTTATTTATTATTATTTTATGTTTGAATTCTGTTTTTAAAATGAATCGGGGTGGAAGGCCACTTAATATTCAGCGTTAATCGAAAAATACATCCTATGGAAATTTATACTTCATCAGGGTGTCCAGCAAGAAGTGTAAAAATAATTACCTGACTTTTTCCCACGAAGTAGTATAAGAAGACATATTGCTGTATATAAAAGATAGCCCCGTTTTCGGTATTCACATGGTATTCACGGTTCTCAAGTTTTCACCAATCTAATTACACTTGCGCCTCTAGAGGGAAATTGTGGTATTAAACTCTGTATTCTGTAAACACGTGATTTTAATACCGAGGTTTCCCTCTAGAGGCGCAAGATTGGTGAAAACTTGAGAACCGTGAATATTGAAAACGGGGCTACAATCCGTTAGAGCCGGTCATAGGTGATATGTCTCTTTATACTACTTCGTGCATTTTCCAAACCTTCTTCCCACTTATCTTTAATAAATATTTAATATTAAAAAAAGGAAAGTATCAAATATTAAAATATTTTTAAAATAATAAAAAACATTTTATTTATTAGTACTATAAACTTTTGGGAACGTTCACAAATGATGTCATGTACTTTTTCAAAATTTTTTTACTCCTACCCCCCCCCCCTGTCATGCTATTTTCCTATATTTTCTTTTAAAAAAATACATTGTGTCAAGTTTATAAATATTATAAAAATTATTACTACCTAACAGTAAGTACTTTCCATGTACCCACACAGCACATAAAATTTCCTGAATTTGTGATCCTGAATATTTCATTGAAAGATTCGAAATATTTCAATGAAAGGTCCATGAAATTTTGATGCAACAATGAAATGTCCGCCTATAAGAAATATTGCAGTTCCGATTGTACGAAAAATTTCAGCGAAATGTTGAGGAAATGTGAGGATGAAAAATTACTGACATATTATTTTTTAATATTTGCAAAATAAAAAAATGAAATATGTTACAAATTTTTAAGTGAAATATTTTGAAAAGATTATTCATTAATGAATAATTCATTTTTTTTATTTTTCACAAATATATCCGGATGATATTGCCTAAATATGTATTTTTAACAATTTAGAAATATTTCATTTCGATATTTCTAGAATTTGAATGAATAATCTTTTCAAAATATTTCACTTAAAAATTTGTAACATATTTCATTATTTTATTTTGCAAATATTAAAAAATAATATGTCAGTAATTTTTCATCCTCACATTTCCTCAACATTTCGCTGAAATTTTTCGTACAATCGGAACTGCAATATTTCTTATAGGCGGACATTTCATTGTTGCATCAAAATTTCATGGACCTTTCATTGAAATATTTCGAATCTTTCAATGAAATATTCAGGACAAATTCAGGAAATTTTATGTGCTGTGTGGGTACTTTCTCATGATATGTTGGCTTTTTATTTTTATAATATAGAAATATGAGAAATTTTACCTTGTATGTTGAACTTTTCAGGATTTTATCTAAGTTTGAACACTTATATCTTCGCAGGCGATTAATGAAAAAATCCCATTTTGGTTATCCCATAGTTGAAGGGTAGAATGACAAAAGGGGTCAAGCGCCAATTCACTGTTTTTACAGGAAGTAAAAAAAACATTTTTAAAAATTTTGCAGGTCATTTAAAAAAACTGAGAAAACCGTTTCGATATATTAGTATGTTTTAATAAATAAACAACAATTTGTTGAAATAAACCTACATATTAACGATAAAATTAAAAAAAACTGTGGTGCCTTGAGGTTATATCAACTGCGCACATTTTCTTTAAGCATTAATTATAAAAAAAATATACAGTTTAAAGAAAAACTGGAAAATTAGTTTCTTTCTATGGAATCGACGAAATGAATAGAAAAAAATTCCTTTAAAAAATTGTTTGTTTTCAAGAAAATTACGAATTAATTGCTTGCTTTGGAATTGAGCAATACTTTCATCGTTAAATTCAATTGTTCACTTAGTATAATCATAAAAATATTTAAAAATTAATAACAAAATGATTTTAAAATTGTTTAAAATTGAAAATACATTATTATTATTATTATTAATTTTATTAATTAAAATATTATTAAAATAAAATTAAAATAAAATATTAAAATAAAACCTAAAAAAATAATTTTTTTTTTATTTTGATAATATTATTGACTCACCACTTTCTTTTGTTTTTCAATCAGGTTGCAATAAAGTGAATTTGAGGCTATTTTATTAATTTAATTTTTATTAAAAACTGATTTAAATACGCAATAAAAAAGGAAATCCTTCTACAGAAATGTGTAAATGAATTTTCTTGATTTTTTATGCAAAAACCTCATTTTCGATAAATTGGCGCTTGACCCCTTTTGTCATTCTACCCTTCAGTTCATCTTATCAAAATTTGGTGATGATGAACGAGCTACTTTTTATTTTTGTTCACTTTAAAAAATCCACCTTAAAATACGAATTTAAAGGTTAAAAAACAAGTAATTTTATAAAACTGAAGTTTGTTTTCTAAATATAGATATATTTGTATGAATTTTATTTATAAAAATACTTGTTTTTTAACCTTCAAATTCGTATTTTACGGTGAATTTTTTAAAGTGAATAAAAATAAAAAGTAGCTCGTTCATCATCACCAAATTTTGATAAGATGAACTATGGGATAACCAAAATGGGATTTTTTCGTTAATCGCCTGCGAAGATATAAGTGTTCAAACTCAGATAAAATCCTGAAAAGTTCAACATTAAAGGTAAAATTTCTCATATTTCTATATTATAAAAATAAAAAGCCAACATATCATGAGAAAGTACATGGAAAGTACTTACTGTAAGGTAGTAATAATTTTTAAAATATTTATAAACTTTCTTGGAAAATATAAATAAAATGTGACAAATTTTGACATTTTACAGGTAAGTTTGAATATTAATTTTCACGTAGTATTTTGGCTTTTTTTATACAATTATAAATATATTGTGAATAAGACAATTCTCAACAAATATCAATGAAAAAAATCTGCCCGCCCCCCCTTCGGG